AATGGATCGTGACTATGGTGTTTCCACACCCGCGGCAGTGTTGTCAAGAGACTAACCAAGTAGTCTCTTCCGTTAGCCAAAGGAGAGCGGAATGACCATTTCTGGCTTGTTAGCCGTCATCTGCCAGTCATACCCAATCTCAAGGGTTGGTACCCCCCGAGGTTTGAACGCGGGACCTTTAATCATTGAGTTCAGTACTCTACCACGGCACCACGGGCTCCTTGCTTCGTTGGTTGAGATCGGGAATATGATGAACGTATATGCTTCGTTGATCTAGTAGAGGAACTATTGTATTCCATTAACATTATACAGTGACGAGTTCTTACCGACCAACTTGAGTATCGATAGCTCTATATTTTTAGTGTGGTGTTTCAATCGCTAGGGTGCCGGTCTTAATTACTGCCTCCCAGTCGAAAAACGTTTTTTTGCTACCACCACGTATCCTGTATTTACTTGAACCTTGTTGTTTTTTTGTTTATCCATCAACAGGGTGTCGTCGATGGAGTAACCGGCATCGTCATGCAGCCAATAGGTGGTGCCAAAAAGGGGGGCGTTGGCGGCTTTTTCAAGGGTGGGTTTGCATTGCTTGTTGTTCTCCTCCTAACCACTGCCTCCTCTGATCTTGACCACTTTCGATACCCTCTTATTTTTCCACTTCTTTCTACTACAAAGGTATGACAAAGGGCCTCGTTGGAGTCGTTACTCGCCCAATCTCCGGAGTCGTTGATTTTGCCAGCAGCTCTTTCGAGGGAATTCGTCGGTATGCTCCTCTTTTTGCATTCGCTTTCTGGTTAGAGTGGGTTTCTGTCTTTTTGGCAGGAATCGCGTATATGGCCCCCTGCCCGGCAGGACACGGTAACGGGAACTATCCGCAATACAAACGACTGCATGCTAAACGTGGAGAGAATTATTGTTACAGTTCAGATTGAGGTTTATTAAGGGAAATAGGCATGAGCCATTGAGTCCCTATTTGCGACGTAAAGCCCAATGCAATGTACGGGGAAACGACGTGGGTTGCAAGTGTTCGAATAGGATTATACAATATAACATTCGGGGCGACAGTTTCAAGGGTGAATTTTAATCACTCATGGATCCGACTCATTTTCCGACACATCTTTCTAGGTTTTTTCTAAAGCATTCCAGCAGCGATGATATCACAACATATTTAGGGAAGGCATTACATGGCTTGACCACTCTAACAACGGAGGAGAACTTGCGCAAATCAAGCCTTGCCTGCTGGATAGGCAATTTGAATGGGTGACTTCGGAGATTAGTCGTGGTGGCAAATTCGTAAAAGGGTTATGTTGGGGGCTGAGTGGATTTTGAGGTTAGAACATGGGATATTCCCTCTCCCGTCTACGTGTTCATTACGCAATCGGTTCCCCCTAGTTGAGCAAATCAGGATACACACAACCACCTGAGTGTGAGTCTCCCCAGCCAGTCACATTTTATTTTGCAAACCAGCCGAGGCTTTTGTCGGAATTTGACTGCTTTGCACTCAGCACCGCGTCGTGGAGCCACACTTAAGAGATTAATCGCACTGAGATCGGATTATGCTATCGGCAGAATAACATTATCGGCAAATACTGCTCCTGTTAGTCATACTGAGGACTGGCCTGCGGGTCTGATCTTACTTCGGCTCCGTTTCCGTCAGCTAATGTTGACGTGTATTCGATTACTAGACCCACGTACTGTAAGTACTTCGTGCTGATAGTTGCCTTCCAGGACACCCTATGGTTAGAATTTGAGTCTTCTTTTGTCCGCACACTCTGAGTTCTCCGCTGTCAGTGATACAACCGCACTCTGGTGAATTCTTCAATGTTTCCTTTTGTAGGGCCACTTCAACGTCCAAAGATGTCAGTCGGGTACGACCGCCACGTTTCATTGGCCTTGATGGCGTGATTCGACCATATGACCTGTATCAGGCGCAAGGCAACATTATCCTGAAGGTACGAACCCGTAAATATTTCCTAACTCTTTTAAA